TGTGTGTGTGTGTGTGTGTGTGTGTGTGTGTGTGTGTGTGTGTGTGTGTGTTTTCACTCTCTTTGATGGCAGTAATGTAGAAGAAACAGCTTCTTTAGTTGAGTTGAACACATGAAGCACCTGAGACTTCAGAGGTCTGAATTTGATAACAAAATGTAGGAGCCGAACTTCGGCCCTCTTAAACTCAGCTAGTCTTTACTGGTGACGAATGAACTCTGTTCTTAATAAACGCTTGGACTTCTGGTTTCCTCTTAAACCAGTCCAAGCTCATCCAGAATGTTTTACTATGCTCTGTCTGATGTACAGAAAGAGTTGAGGGTTCTGTTTTAACAGAACCAGCTCTGATTCTGTTTGTCCATCTTTCCTCCACTGCTAAACGCTGCCTGACGAGCGAGACCACAGTTTGAGGTGAGCAGGTTGAGTTGGACTGAATCAACTCACCGGTGATGGAAGGTGGGTATAGATTAATGAGATTATTTATATTCCATCCATCCATTATCTTTTACCTGCTTCTTCCTTTTTGGGTCACGGGGGTCACTGGTGCCCATGTCCAGCTATCACTGTGCGAGAGGTGAGGGACACCCTGGACATGCTGATGAAGATTCTCAGTCATCCAGAACATGATAAATTCAAAAAACGTTCAATACAAAAACAACTGGACTTTATTTGTAACAGATTTATTTGAAACGTCTTCTTTTACAAATAAAGTCCAGTTGTTTTTGTATTGAACGTTTTTTGAAGACACCTTGGACAGGTCTCCAGTCCATCACAGGGCCACATAGAGACAAACGAGACAAACAACCATTCACTCTCTCACTCACACCTAGGGACAATTCAGAGTTACCAATCAGCCTAACATGCATGTTTTTGGTCTGTGGGAGGAAACTGGAGTACCCGGAGAAAACCCACGCATGCACGGAGAGAACATGCAAACTCCACCCAGAAAGACCCCTGGACCGGGATTTGAACCAGGGACCTGCTCGCTGAGAGGCAGCAGCTCTACCAGTTGCACCACCGTGCTGCCCCTATTTATATTCCTTTTTATTTTTATTAAAATATATAAATTAAATTGACAAAGACTAAATAATGATGAGAGGATTTCTGAGTCAAAAACAGGATGTTTCATCTCTAAATGTATTTTTCTTTAAACAAATTGTTGCTGTTGTGGATGTTGAGGGTTTGTTTTTTTCTTTTCTTTCGGATGCTCAATTCTTCAGGGGTCGCCACAGTGAACTCTCACACCAACACTTGGTGATTGTTTTGGGGGGGGTCTTTATGTCGGATGCCCTTCCTGACACAACCACAGACCACTGAGCTACCACAGCCCTCCATGTGGAGCAGACAGCTGCTATCTAGAGCACCTGGGGAGCAGATGGTGGGGGTTAAGGGCCTTGCTCAAGGGCCACAGAGGGTGGAGGAAGGTGTGAGTGCTTTCCCACCCACATTTTGATGTTGTCGAACCAGCGACCTTCCAATCACAGGCCCACCTTCTCTAACCTCTGCGCCACCACTCCCCCTGGATGTTGATGCTTCTGAAGTTTGTGTAAAGTGTGCGTTTGTTGTCCACTAATGTATATTTGCACTCCTCGTACACACAGACCACAAATAATCAGGAAAATGCTCTTCTTCTTATAACATGGAAAGAAAATACATGTGTACTGAATGAATCAGTCAAGAAATAAATCCTAAAACAATCCTGCTGATGCGTTCTGTTTCAGGTAGAGACAGATTATTTTTTTTATCTTCACACATCCGTTATTTATTGTTGCAATCACACATTTACAAACACTCATTATGATCATCAGATTAAACTTGGGATTTAAGGGATTTCTTTCAACCTTTCTTCATCCAGAGAAATACACAGTAAATGTAAACTTGTGAAGCTGTTCCATTCCACGCAGGAAAAAGAGCCATTATAACTCATCAATAAAATATCTGATAACAGTGCCAATGATAAAACTTTTGTAAATACATTTAATATTTTAATAGTTTAGTTAAAGCATTTGTTGTGTAATAAAATAAGTCTTTTGAAGATAGGTATTAGTTTCAAGCTATTTTCTGTTAGTTCAGGACAGCAGCAAGACAAACTGTGGCTGCAGTCCCACTGCAGGGCTTAATGTTTGGTTCAGATTCTGATGTTCTTGTGTTCACATTATGATTTAAATGTCACCATCTCCAGTGTGAACATTGTATGGAGTTGAAGCTCCTCGCAGAAGAGCACGACATCATGCGCAGCATGACCTTTGTTGCTGTAAATAAGTACATTTTGTGTATCGATTCTGAAGTTCAGAGTCAACTAAATTATTGTCTGACATGTTTAGTTCAGTGTTTATATTTAATCTTGTCTTTTGTTGGCAGCGTTGTATTTTTGGAACGAGAGCGACGTACTGAAAGAAACAAACTGAAGTATAGGTAAGAGCACTGTGTCGCCATGTGTTGCCTGATTCGAATCCTTGCTGGATGGCAGAAGGACTCCACCATTTGTTTCATACATGATCACTCACTTCTTCACAAATTTAAACTAAAATGGTTCAATCCTGTGCTGTGGTTTGAGGCACAAATGGGAAAAGGGGAGTAGAATTTCCTGGCACTTTACCGTAAGTACCGGTAAGTTTCTTTCGGCTGCTCCCTTCTTCAGGGGTCACCACAGTGAGCGAACTCGCATGAAAGATTTGGCTATTTGTTTTACGCTGGATGCCCTTCCTGAAGCAACCTGGACTCGAGCCTGCAACCCAAGGATTACAGGACGGCAGCACTGACCACCGAGCTACCGTATGGAAGATATAAGTGACTTTCTGCGATCAACACAGGCACAAAAGAATGACTCTTGAAATTATGAAGATATTTTAAACCTTGCTATATTATATTTCTAGAGACTTGTAGCCCTGCAGTGACTCTCTGCTGAACAAAATATCAATATAGTCAATATTTGATCAGGGTGTTAGGTCGGACTTCCATCCACTTCTCAGCTTCTACAGATCGCTTAGCAAGTTTTGGTATTATAAAGTAGTTATAAATTATAAAGTGGTTATAAATTATGAAGTAGTTTCACGGTACACCGCTGTCTTGAATCATGAAGGACTCCACTCATCCTGCACTCAGTCTGTTCCAGCCTCTCCCCTCAAGCAGGCGGCTGAGGAGCATTCAGAGTAAGACGACCATGCTCAGAAGCAGTTTCTTCCCTGCATCTGTTAATTGTTAGGCTTCTTGATCTGGGACCTGAGTCCGAATTTCATACCATAAACAAGCAAACGTGAGCTGGTATGACAATCAAAAATCCTTGAATCCTTGAAACGTGACATGAGCATTCAGATGAAGGTCGCTTTGAATGATATCAGATATGTATCCGATTTAGTACCACATGTGAAAAAGACCTGGGTCAGATGTGATCAAATCAGATTGGTCACATTCCATTCAGACTGTCATTAAAAACCTGATTCAGATTTGGGCTGCTTTTGCCTGCAGTGTGAATGTGGCCTAAGATTTAACTGGAGGTGACTAAAATGGGCAAAATACTTTCTGCACAGCTCACAGGCAGCTCTGACAGCGTTTAAGAGTCCTACAGGTTGTACCTCCATCCATGAAGACGGAAGCCTGGACACTGGTCTCCACAGCGCATACATGGCTGGCCTCTGTCTGGGTCCTCTTCTTCCTGCTGAACACAAAACATAAAGTCACTTCAGCTGCGACACTTCCTCACCGGAGCAACACAGCATTCTGTTGGCAAAGACGTGTGAATAATATCTGTAGGTGCACGTAAGGTGTAAAAAAGAAAAGCAAGCCTTCTGCCAAAAGTGCTGAGCTGTGCATTAAACTGAGCCAAGAGCGAATCTGCAGCTTTAACACTGAACTCCCTCATATCTCACTTCTCCTCCTGCAGCCTTGCCTGGCAGTGTGTGCAGATATTCAGACTGCACAAGCAGGCCTCTTTTTAGAGATGAGAGGAAGGAAGCAGACACAGGATGGGAGCTGCACCCTTCCCTCTCCATGCAGTAACTTCACTTTTCACCCAACTTTCTTTTCCTCAGATCACTTAACTGCGCTGTACGTCCTGCTGTTTGTGTGAACAGCTTAGTATCGACACGGAATAAGCTTTTTTTCTAAACTACCGGTAGTAAAATAGAGACACCTTAATGGACTCTGCACAAACCCTGTTCAGAACAATCACACAGTTGATGAAACTTTAGTCAGGGATTAATTAAAATCCAACTTGTAAATTGCACTTGAATGCATAAACAAGATAAAACTCTGACTTTAACGATGTGTGCAACAACAAGGTACCTGTGCATACCTGTTCACCTGTCTCTAACCACTAACCATCAGTATTCACGTCGAGCCTGTTTTCCAAAGCACAGATTTTATGACCTCCTTTGAGAACAGCAACACATTTCTTTGATTAGCAACAGTCACGTTGCTTTGCTTATCTCAGCGAAATCTGAGGTGCTGCTGTGGGGGTTGAGATTGGACTGAGAAACCATAATTACATGCATTTACATCTAGATGTGTTTTGATACATTCCAGATGAATCTGGGTGTTTTATGTTTGATTTCATTTTCATTTCACCTTTATTTAACCAGATTTAAACACCAAGAACAAATTCTTATTTACAGTGTTGGCCAGGCAGCACCAACAGTTACTTGTAGGGTCATGGGAAGGGAAACAATACAGTTAGGCAAAACAATAAAATATAGTACAGTAGTCCCTCGCTACTTCACGGTTCGACTTTCACAAACTCATTCTTTCGCAGTTTTTCAACGTTGTACACGACACACAATTGTCAACTTTAATATTACTCACATGATTGGGACGGTACAGGATAAAAGTTAACGGGAGCAGGAACCAATCAATAGGACAAACACAAAACAAAATACTTCAGACAGGCGCCATCATTTTGTAGTTTTCTTTCAATAAGCCTACACTGTAACGTAAGTCAAAAGAACTACACGGCCCAGAAGCCAACAGTGCTTCGAGACACTGCTTTCTGCCAAAATGTCAGCAATGGAGGGAGCAAACACAACAATGACAACACAATCGCGACGGTGCTGGTCCGAACCCGGGCCAAGGTGGTGGACTATATCCTGGGCAGCCTCGTGCGCAGAGTGTCCTTCCTGAAGCGGCAGCACATGCACATCAACCTGGATGGGGTGGTGGGCTTCGTCATGCTGCAGGGTAGCAACTGGAACCGAGACGCAGCTGCTGGTCTGCAGAGCTGGTGAGTACTCAGATAACATTTTGCAGTACTGTACAGTACATATACGTATGTTGTTAAAATGACGTAGGTTTAAGAGTTTAGAACATTGCAAGAATGTGGGAAGGGTTTATAAAGTCTTAAAATATATATAAATGCTAAAATAAATATAGCGTTCCTACTTGGCGGCTTTTCACGTATTGCAGTGGTAACTGGAACATAACCCCCACGATAAATGAGGGACTACTGTAGTCAATAACAAACAAGGAAAACACAAATTACCTTAACAACAGTTCATTAACATCATTGTTTTACAGAGAGATACGAGTCCAACATTATAGTTTATTCTCTTATTGCTTCAATAATCTTCTCTTGGCCAGCTTTGAAAGGTGACAAACTGGGTTAAATGAAGCGTGCAGAAGATTTCTGGCTGACTGGATCGCTTGCTTGTCGTTTCCTACAGGTAAAAGTTTCTGTGCTGTCACTCTGACTCGGAGCCTGGGAGGGACGTACTGCAAAAAGTCGGTACTCTGAACACCAGGGTGTTTGTCTACACTCCTAAACAGCATGTAGGAAAACAGCTGCAAGACAAGAACATTTCTGGAAACTGTAACCAACCTGAGCCCATTGTCCTTCAAGAGCCACAGGGAAGAAATGAAACAACACTTCACGCTTTACATCCCTATAAAACACCCTTTGACCTGATTTAAGTAAAACATAACTTCAGTTCATGCACCAGTGTACTCATTTACCAACACATATCAAAAAAATAGATCTTGACTGGACACATTTATAGAAATAAAATATGCAATTCAGAGATTTACAAACTATCCTCCTTCCTGGATTACTAACTGATGCTTTTATACAATTTTAAATAGTCTTTTAAAGATTGTACGAAAAGCTACAACCACATGTCTCTCACACAGACAGAGGCAACTTGGAGAGATGTGTCAACTTTACAAATGTTAGTTACATAGCAAAAATAAACCAAAGGTTACTAACTTTAGCTGTAATTATCCACAACACTACAACCCTCTCCTCAGTGGAAATATACGCTCTACGCTTCCTGCGTTAGCTTTGTTCCACACTTTTCATTCTTTTCAAAATGTCCGTTTTCTTTTGGGTGAAAGCAGACGGAGTAGTTCTGATGTTAGTGCAGAGTGACATGTAGTCGTCAGAATAATGGTTTGATTCTCACACCGTTTTATAACAAACAGATGAGCGAGTCTACGTGAATACTCACTCATTTCAGTGCAGACGGTACTGAAGCTTTTATCACGGGTCCAGTCGTGACGTAATGAAAAAAGACAAATCAGTAAGCCGAAGGAAAGCGACAAATTTACTCAGATTATTTGGCTCATTCGTGTGTGACGAGAAAACGGCATAACGTTCAGAGTTTTCGTGTCTCTGGGTTAAGCTTTAAAAACAAGACAGTAAGTAGCTTTATCTCTAAGCAAACATACATTTAATCACTTTGGTTTAACTCAGCATTGCAGGTGATTGCAAAGTCAAACAAGAATTAGAGATAGGTGAAAAAAAAACTAACATTTGTTTCTCCTTGTTATATGAAATGAGCAGGAACGGTACTGATTAAACCCTGTGGTGGGCACAGCTAACTAAAATGTTAGCTTCACCAACACCAAATCACTAAACAGGCAAAAAATATATAATAATTAGAGGAAGCTAATGCTAAACTGCCAACTGCTACTCAGTCTGCGTCACGTCTTCGCCTCCTTCCAGCTGAAGCTGCGTCGACCAATCACGTCTTGTCACGTGAACATGTCAGCCAATAGCGTGCCTAACGGACTCAATGAGACACGCCCACAACAGACAGGAACAAGCTTGTGCATTTTGTTAGCGGACTCAAAGCTGGCAAATCCTAATTTAGCAGAAGCTAATTCCACTAACAATTTCAAAAGTTAGCAAAAATGCTAATCCGCTAAACAAACAAAAAAAGTTCCACTATTAGCTGATTAGCGGAACTGTGCCCGCCACTAATTACATGCAAAAACAAACAAACAAACAAAAAACATGAAGCTTTAAAAAAATGAAGTTGTTGTTTTAGGTTTCCCTCTCGTGACATCAGTGTCCAAGACGTGATACAAAACTGAGTCCTTTTGGTTTTCCATCAAGCGTGATGTTTTTATTTCTGTGCTATAAATGAAGCACTGGAAGGGAGTGGTGATAAACAGTTTCCTTTAACCAAAACCAGAGTAAAATAAATAAAACGTTCAGGTTGGTTCACAAGTCAGGCTATGGTTTAGTTGGGCTCTGTTGGGCCACTAAGTTACAGTAACTGGGCAGAAGACAAACTGAATAATGCCCGATTTATCTTATGTCAACACACCACGGCACTGGATAAACCCTGGATTACCAGCTCTAATAAAGGGACAACAGACAAACACCAGACTTATTGTTAGGAACACACTTGGTGTGCAGGATTCCCCATCGGAGGAAAGGTCTTGTTAAAGGAGGGCAACACACATTGAAGGAAAGTGTGGGTCGTCAAAGTTGTGGCTCTGGATGGATTAAACATTAACGGTGCCGATCAGAGGTGGGGGGGCTTTGCTGTGAATAGATGCACCTCTCTTCACTGGGGGGAGCCATTTTCCTATAACCACCTCCTCTGTAGCCCAGAGCACCCCAGTGCTCTACAGTTTACATGTTCCTACTTTCTGCCCATGTCAAGTCAAACAGTAACGTCCGACAATCAGACGAGTTAGCGCCGTTCTGAGGGTCACGCTGAACCTTTATCTGAGCAGATATCTCGTTCGTCTCCACAGTGATGGCTGGACATGGGCACCAGTGGCACCAGTGGCTCCAGTGACCCCCGCGACCCGAAAAGGAAGAAGAGGGCAAAGATGAGGGAATGGAATGATGGATGGATGGAAGTTAAAGTTTTTAATTTAGTCAGTTCCGATCAAGACATGCCTGTTTCACACTGATCCTTAAGTCTATATTTTAAAATTTATTACTATGTTGCTGATTAAAGTACTATCTGAACTGCAATATTCTGTGCGTCCGCAATCAGGGATGGAAAATAATTAATTGAGTTTAATTTCTGTAATTTACTTCTCTTTCCACGGATGAACAAATAGTATTAAGACGATTAAAAGCCAGATAAATTAGTGTACTTTTTAAAGTTTAAATTGGATTACGTGTGCAGAAAATCTGAATACTGTCAAGCCACTTTAAGCTTTATAGAACAACTGTGTTAACTCGGGAACACGGTGTTAAATAAGTTAATATAAGACGATTTTGTACAGAATTACACATTTAATTTAGTGATGTGGTCCAGCATGCAGATGGAGAGATGTTCTGCAGGTGAGGAGCAGCAGGTCCAGATGTTTGGACGGTCCAACAGCTGCTGGTCCAACCTGAGCCTGGAAGTTGTTGCAAACATCCAACAAGTTGTTCCCATCAGAACCTGCTCAGGTACATTCAGGACGCCTGACATGACT